CCCCTAGTATTTTGTTATTACAATTTGTCAACTTCACCCTGCTACTCCTTCCTGCCTGCTTTTTGGGGTCCTCCACCACCACGCATCGTGACAACCAGAGACAAATTGTTTCAACAAAAAGGCACAAAAACCTTGTGCGCTCACATCCACAAGGGGCTAAATATCCTTAGAAGTCTTGCTTGTCTCCTTCTTCCTTTGGTTAGTCAGTAGCTAACTATGCTTTTGGTATTATCTTGATTTCATCATGACTCCGCAGAGCTGACAAACAATTATACAGTGACCAGTGACCTCACAGATGCCATTTTTTAACAGAAACTCTTCAGCAAAGAGTAGGAGTTGTGATAGTAGGAAAGAGAGACCATATCCACCCCCCGTCCCCATTAGCTTGCTGTATCTGATATGAAAATTCATGAAAAATGCTTTTTTGTCTATATTCTTCTAATGATGGGGGGAATAGAGAAGAAACATTCACACCTGCTAACCGATTGAACAAAATGAGGATTGCACAAGCATTCAGAAACCTGAAAGTGTTTGAGGAGCGATAAAGGACATCAAAGCTGAGAGCAAGTGCCACAACAAGCTTATTAGCAGACATATCAGCTGGGAAGATAAGAGGCACTTCCCACTGGAAGTCAGCAATGTTCTCACGATGACAAAGCAAAAAGAAAAAAAAATAATTAAGTACTCTTCCATGATATGAAACACAAACTCACTGGCTGATTTCAAAACATAATATCACATAATAAAATATAATTCAACTGGGTTGTAAGGAATCCTCATTCATATAATGATATTTTTATTGGTTTTTTTTTTTTTTTCAATCTCCTTGAGAGACGATTTCCCTTAATGGCTGTCACGAAAGAAGCTGATACGTTCGACCTTGTCTAAGTCACTCTGTAGTGATGGCTGTTCACATTGCCCTCGCTGTTAATATTACAGTTATTGTCGAATATTCAAATTAGGAATTGCCATATAAATTAATAGTGTGCTTAATTTAGGATGGTCAACTAGTTCAGTGTAACCTTAAGATTCAAGATGATCGTCTTTCCAACTTTTTAACTGCCAGCAGAATTCCCCATGTTGCCCAATTCAGACCATTCATACTCGCCCGCACGCTTACACATGACGGCCTTCAGTTCCATGGAAATAGGCCCTTAGCGAAGGTTTGAGTAACATTGGTCAGATGTCGCAGGTTGCACATAATGCCACGTAGAGCGCGTGATCTGCATGTTGGGAGGGGTGGCTTTTCCTAACATGCAAAATTACGACAATTTAAAAATGATTGAACCATAGCCGCCAGTCAACACAAGAGTCACTACGTAGCTAGCTTGTAGTTCGTTTGGACAATATCGCAAATAAAATCACTGAATGTGGATCTAACTACTCAACCGTTGTTGCTCAATGGGTCCTGTGTTATTACTGATGTTTTAAGATGAAATACAAAAACGTATTCATACATTTGAAAATAAACTGCATTGTCTAAACACGGGATGTCTTTGGATGCCTCCATGTTTTATGTGTCAAAGAATAGCGGTGTATCTACTCTTGTTAAGAACAACGCCTCGCACTGATATCCACAATCGTTTTATTTCGCCTCGATCATGGAACACCGTGAAAACTAAAAAGACATTCCCAACGTTAACAATCAACATGTACAATTATCTGTTTGACACGACATTGAATGAATAAAAAAAGATAACATACCATGTTCACCTTGTCAACCGACTTTATATAAAATGAAAATAAAGTCGACCAGACAATATCATGCTTAGTCTCTACACTGTAGAGCAGGGGGTGTCAAATTCATTTTTGTCGCGGGCCAGATTTTAGTTAGTTTTCCTTGGAGGGCCGTTATGACTGAAACTATATGAAGAAGTCAAGAATAACGGTTTATTCACCTATTGTTTAAGATACTGTAATGAGGGGTTTGATAACAGGAAAATACGTACAGCATCACTCTTATTTATTACAAATGAGAATTAAAAATTTTGGTAGTGATTTTAGGAAGCATCATGAAAGTTGACATCTTTGATTTGCTTTCGTGGACCACATAAAATGATGTGGCGGGCCAGATCTGGCCCCCGGGCCTTGAGTTTGACACGTGCTGTAGAGCTTGCTCTTGAGTCTACAGCAAGTTTTCGCTCTCTTGCAATCTTTTGCACCATCCGGCATACTGGACCCTAAACCGAAAGTGACGTTTCAGAAAATATTCAACGTCATAGCTTGAAAAGATTTCAAGGAAAAAATAAATATCACGGTTTACATGGGAAAGAATACGTATTCATAAAATAACAAACTCAGACAATTAAACACTTTATTCACCCCACCCCCCACACCCCCAATTTTGCTGCTGTAGACTGCAAATTTCCCCAGTGTGGGACAAATAAAGGTTATCTTATCGTATCTTAAATATTACAGATTTTAGTTGTCGTGGCAACCAATTGGAAAACAATCCTCGAGCCAGCTACAAGTGGCATAAAAGAAGAGAGAAACAATTAGGCTCCAAAATGTGCTCTGTCACAGCCTTCGCACATGGCACGTCTCCATGGAAACAGGCCAAAATTGAAGGCTGGTTCTAGAAGGCTGCGTAAATTTGGACACCAGCGTGCGCTCGAGTTGTGCCGGAAGTTACGTCGTGTGGCCGACAAATATGGCGTTTGGCAAAAGCAGGCCTATGAGTTTGAACAAAGCTATTGAGCCTGTCCAAATTCAGCACAGTTTAGGTGGGCCACGGAGGCTACTCTAGGAGGAGTGATCCTCATCGACCAGTGTCCCGCAGAATGGTCCCAAGTCAATCACTTGGGTGTCGAGGGATTTTTTTTTTAATACACTATCATAGTTATCTTAGTTAGTTAGTGTACACTGCATCATGAGCATTCTATCAGTTTCACTTTTACAAATAAATAAATAGATAAATGAAAAAATAATAATAAATTATATTTGAAAACAAGCAGGTCACCTTTCACATCCGGTGGCACGTGACCTCCATTACCGGAAGTTCTAAGCCGTCACAGCAGTCGGCAATTGCATCTTGCGATCAGAGCTGTTGTGAAATATTTTTTTATTATGATGATGATTATGATTGTTATGATTCTGTTTGTTTCATCTGCAATTACCCGATGTCACTGGCAAAGAATGGAAATCTGGAGGGCCGAGAGAAGCATTTTAAAACGGTACACGTGAGCTACGATCGTTAACGCGCTGCAAAAGTGCGTCCAATAACTCCTCGTCAGGGCTCCCACGAAGGTTGGCAGTGCTTTCATTTTCACTCACTCCCAAACTCCTGCATCACTTAATTTTTTTGTTTCGATAATGTTAATGGCCCTTATTGCCGTTGCTAATCATGGCATGCTTGTGTGCTTGCGAATAACCGTATACCCGCGTGTACATGGGCGTGCCTGTTTGCATTCGTGCAGGTGCGGTATCGGTCGATCGCGTAAGGTTGATTGGCTTGAAAAGTAGATCTTCAGTGAAAAAAAGGTTGGGCACCCCTGCTTTATATTGTGCATATGAAGAAATTCTCGCTTTTCAAAACAGTGTGTGCCCTATGGTTGGCTGGCATCCAGTCTAAGCCCCAACCCATCGTCAGCTGTGTTAGACCATGCCTAATGGGGAGCACAAGCAGCATTGTTTTTTCCTTCAGTAACGCTCTCCCAGATAGAAATGTAGTGTCCTTTCAAGGAGACTGGAGGAGAATATAGGTGGAGAAGAGAGAATGAAAATGGATCCCCACAAACTCACAAACACAATGCGCGCACGCACGCACCCACACACACGCGCACGCACACACACACACACGCACACACGCGCATGCGCGTGTATGCTTTAGTAAGAGCAAATGCGCGCACGCACGCACCCACACACACGCGCACGCACACACACACACGCACACACAGGCGCATGCGCGTGTATGCTTTAGTAAGCATTTTAAAACTCCCTTGATTATTTTCACCGTCATTATTTAGGGTTGGGTTTTTTCAAATTAAGTACAGTTTGCAATATTTTAATTGGCACACCATCTGCATTTTCAGTTAGGCTGCGGGTTTCAGTGTCTTGGCCAGCATCAGAACTGTGCCCTTAAACTAACAAGGCTAGAATCGGTAATGTGCCCGTGCGTGCGTGTGTGTGTGTGTGTGCGTGTGCGTGTGTGTGTGTGTGTGTGTGTGTGTGTGTGTGTGTGTGTGTGTGTGTGTGTGTGTGCGTGTGTGTGTGTGTGTGTGTACACACACTCACACTCACACACGCACACACACACATTCTATCGTTAGGCTTTTCGGAATTCTTATTACAAGCAACCTGCACATGCCTGTGGATTGCCCTTTAATGTATTGTGAAACATTTCGGTAAAACCACTTTTTTATACAGTTGCGCGTCTTGTGTGAAAACAATGCCCGAGGCAAGTAATGCGACTTTTTTTTTCTTTTCCATTATTTTGCTATTTGAAAAATAGTGAGGTATTATCTGCTAAGAAAAAAAAACAACCGCAATGAGACGTCCATGTCTTTTTTTCAGTGGCGTTGAACTGAAATGCATCATACTACAGTACCAACGTTTTTAAATGTTTCTAAGGTAAATAAGGTAGAATATGTTTGAAACGCTCTAGGATGATGCAGTGTGATTCCACACCGCTGCAATACAGCCATAAAATATGATGTGGGTTTTTTTCGAACGCCATTTTTAGACCTCGCACGCTTGTATTTTAATGTTTTTGGGTTTTTTGTTCAGTTTTTTATTTCTTATTTAAGTGAATAAAACTGACACGTTGGAATTAATTGTTTCTGGCTGTACCATGCAGCGTGAAAGTCGAGCTTGCGGTACGTGGGCCCGCATCTAGCTCTCAACGACCACGGGCTCGATCCAGCAGTCGGCCATGCAGCCCACCGAGGCACACATCCACACGTGTACTACTGCTCTGGACTCGCGTGCGTCGGCTTCACGGAAGAGACGTGCGCCTTTAAAAGGACGAGCGCTGCTATTGGGTGGAAGGGCGGGCCCGAGCGCTGCGCGTGGGCGCGGTAGCGTGTGCGTGTGCGCGCTTCTGCCTGCACCCGCTCCTAGTGGTACACAAGCGACAAGCCCCCCTTGTGCGGACACCGTGTACCGTGGTCGAAGCACCTGCGACAGGGACGTGAGAGTCAGCCCGAAACCGTCTGGTGGTCCCACCCTGCCAATCTGCACGAGCGCCAATATCTATCTGCAAGCAGGATTTAAAAAAATATATATTTCAAACTACTACAGCTCCCTGGGGACCTAAAACTGGATTTACCATTCTGATGTTCTTGCTGGTCTGATTGACGGAGGTCAGAAACACCACCTTTTTGCTGTTTGATCTAATTTAAACCTCTCAGATGGAACTTCGTTTGGAAGAAATGTCTTTTTTTAAGAGGAAATAAAATGCCTTACGATCAGGTATCGCACCACTGTACACGTATAAAAAATGTATTCGGAAATGCAAACATGCGCCTCATTCGTTCATTGGCGTTTTAAGGTGATTTCAAAGAGGAAAATGTCTCACGTTGGCCTCAATGTTACCACAGTGGAAACGAGGCAGTGTGGCGAGAGCGGATGGAATTACACGCGCCTCTTCGAGGCGATGCCTTCGAATTGTATAATCATTTCTCGACGATTTTTTTTAGTGTTTGATCACGAGCTTTGCGTCAAAGTGACAGCAGCCATCCAGCCGGAGACATGATTTTTTTTTTTTACTTAAATGTTTTCCCTTTGTCTTTCTTTTTTTTTTAAGATTAATTATAAATGACCCCAACGTCGGTGTCCAATGTCCTCACATTGTTCTCGTCGTCAGGTTCCCTTTTGGATGTAAAACAAACACGCCAGGCACAACCCTTTGCGCAGGTCAAACACGCCTTCTTCTCTCTCTCTCCATCTCTATCTCTCTCTCTCTCACACACACACACACACACACACACACATGCTCGTGCGCAAAAACGCACTGCATGTAAATACAAATTTAATATATTTCGATCATCCGAACATGCTTTGCACACAGCGACTCGACCATCTTTCGGCAGCAATTGTAAAATCCGTCACGTTCCTCCATTTATGCGCCGTTTTCGTGCGGCTCCAAATCTTCTCACATGCTTGCGCACTTTTCAGAATTCGTGCAAGAAACTGCAAACGTTCCGGGCATCCATATCACACAAGGGAAATTATCTTTTTTTTTTCAATGACATTTGCACGCAGACTGTGTCTAAGTAGAAATGAAATCAAACGATCTGCATATGGAGAATTTTTTTTTTTTTTTTTTTTTACAAGGCAGCCCGTAATTAACACTGTGATCGTCATGCACGTCCACGTCTTGTGCATGTGTGATGGGAAAAAAAAAATTAAAATGAAAGATTTTGTTTTACCTCCCTAAAATGACGTTTCATGCAACGGAGGTTGCTAAACGATGCATTTTCTACTTCAACATAATCTGCGTTCCATGCTGCATGTTGCGCCAATCGTTTATCATTTTTCTTCTTTCTGTTACCTACCTTCAGCGAGCGCGTAACAGCAAGTCTCGGCCTTCTCTTTGGCTGAGCTTCAAATAACCTATTAACCAAAGGAAATATAAATGCGAATTGTCTTTTTTTTTTTACATTTATGGTGCTGGATGTCACATTTTAAACAGCGACGAGGGCCTAATTTGGTGCGCCGGAGAAAGTCTACCTGCGGAAAAATAACGCAGGAGGCCTCGCCGTTCCATCAAACGCCCTAGGAGGGGAAAAGAATCAGTGATTCAACTGATGTCAAGGTCTAAACTGGTGAGAAAAAGCAATGTCAAGAGGACGCCCACCGAGCTTTATTTTGATGTGTGGCTGTTGCAGGTTTCTGTGTCCGATTTTGAAGACTTAATCGGATTAAGATGATTCTCGTGCATTTATGCGGAGGGAATTCCCAATCACGCTCTTTCCAGAAGAGCTCGGGAATGGGCGTGGACCACAGTGGGCTCTTTTTTTCCCTGTCAAAGGGCCAAAGGTGTTTCATCCTTGAATTTGAATTAACATTCATAGGATAGTGATGAGCTGAACACGCTTCTAGCCGTCTATGACGTATACGTATAATTACTACAATTAGCGATTTTCCAAGCTAGAGCTGTGTCAAGTGCTGCATTGCTGTGTGAGTTGAAATCGATTGATATATATTTGTGGACGTGTGCTCAGTCTTGAGAATTTGCCAGCCGTGAAATTGAAATGTGCGATTTACAACCTTTCTGGGCGTATATATAAATATAATTTTGAAGAGGCGTCATCGGGTATTTAGGAAATTTGACCGTGCTGTTTTATCCCATGCTTGGCAGGCGATTAACTGTGCTGACAAACCAAGCGCAAAAAGTCAAGGGCTCTCAAGGTAACACTAATCCCTATAGGGCGTGGAAAGTCAAATAAACGGGATTGAGAAGACTGCTCTGCTCGTATTTAGATCAAGGTGCTCCCTTCGTATCTGTCGTTGTTCGTTTTTCGAGACGTGCGCGCTTACCTTCGGGTGTGAAATATCTCGTCTGCGCCTCGTGTTTACAGACTCCCACATGATATAATGAATACGCAAAACTAACGAGATAAATGGCCGTCGTCTGGTTCTTACGTAGCTATAATATGAGCAAGAAAAAAAAACACGATAAGGAGGCTATTTCAATCAGACGCAAATGTGTTACATAAATGGCTCTTTTGGGGTGGGTGGGGGGGATGCCGTGAATTTTGGTGCGCGCTTGTGTGTAAAACGTGTGCGTGCGTCTCGTCGGCCCGTGTATGTCATGTTTTAATCTCTGCGATGATTGCGTGTCGTCATGTCTATAATTCGTTACAATATATGTCCGTGTGCATATTTAGCCGTATGATCGTGTGTGCGCGCGCGTGTGTGTGGGTGTGCGTCGGTGTGTGAGTGTGTGTGTGTGTGTACGCGTAATGTTAGTGCTCTCTAACGGGGTGATGTAATGCCGTTGAAGGGTGCTGCAGCAGAACCACACAACCCAAAGAAGGCGTGTCCCGCCTGCAGAACAGCAGGAAAATAACACGTTTCGCCCACGCGTGTACTCGCCGAGATCCTCACACGGGCATTCTCGTTGCGTTTACATATGCTGCTATTTGTCTTTGATGATTTGAAGTTGCAAATTAAAGGTTAAGAAAACAAGGCAATACTTTTGCGACCCTTTTTTAACGGCTTCGTTTTGCTTGGTAGTTTGGTGTACCGATAGTATGTCATAGTACTCTTGTTTGTGTAGATTGGCGTTCTTTTATATGTCTTAAAAATTAACACCCCCCCCATCCTAAAAACGGTTGAATCCTTTGCTTATTTATGTTATTTTTGGCAGAGCATTTCCAACATTTAGAAAAGATTAAATTTATTGTTTGAGCTGGATTACATATTTTCTGCATTCTTTCCATTGCCATACATTTTTCCCTTGAGGAAGTTGTATGTTTTACCATAATAGCCTACATAATCGTGATACATGAGGTTGTCACTGTGCTGGTAACCTCAGAAGCTTTGCTTGACATTAACATTAGAATATGCATGTGTATCCAGGAGTTTAGGCCCTGCAAGAGTGCAATGTAATGTTGAGTCCAGTAATTATCCTTTGTGGTAGATTTGTACTGATGCCATAATTTGTGTCATGATCATGATCCGTTCTTCACTACTCCTTGATATGGAACGATCGACCCCGAATGTGAATGTTGTTTCAAATAGATCCCGGTCCACCTGAAATTGCTTCAAAATTATACGCTGCTGTGTGCCTGAAATGTTTTGGTGTTGGAGAGGCAGATTATTGACACCCTTTTGGATACCGTGAGATTGCAATTTTAAGTCAAAACTTTATAGACCTACACTAATTTAGATGTTATTTTTCATGACACCCGGAAGCACACCAGACTGGATATCTCACCCGTATAATATCTGTTGACATACAGACTGTTAAAAACATGTGAATATTTGGCGGCGGGGGGGTGGATAAAAGCAGCTGTGTTTCGACCAAAATGTTTTTCCTCGAGCAACGTGATGAAGAGAAGAGAGGAAGGGATGGCTGATGTCTGGGCGGTTCATGAGCTGCCTGAGTGGGAGTGGATGAGGTGGAACATCCTCCCTCGCTCTCTGTTTCCACTCGTCTCCTCCTCCTCCCATTTACTGTCAGTGCCGGATAAAAATCATTCCACTGCAGCAAATATACCAAATATCAAATACGCGATTTGAATAGTCTGCCCTCACGATGATCGAATTCTGCGGATCAATTAAGAGATTGTTGCCGATCTTTTCAGATAGCAAATACTCCGGGTGGGGGACATTTTGTTGCCGCATTTGAGCTCTGCGTTGCTGCGGCTTTTTGTCCATGTGATCGAGTCACCTGCTGTAAAATTACTGTCAAGTGGCATTCATTTAAATACAAGGGGCCCGCTTGCGGGTTTTATTTTTTGTTGTGCGCGCACGCGACACTGAAGCACATGCACGCACACAAACACCCCCCCCCACCCCCCAGTCTCACACACACACACGCGCGCGCACACACACACACACACACACACACACACACACACACACACACACACACACACACACACACACACGCACAAAACCTCGACAGTGCTTGTGAATGTTAATAGGATCCAGAGTGCTGCTGCCTTTTGTCAGTGTGTGTACGTCGACTAGTCCCTGCGGTGCTGGTCAAAAGATCCTTTCACTGAGAACAATGATCCATGCCGTTTAGCCTTTTAACCCCCGACGGTCCACATACTGCGAGCAAAGGCAAGCACACACACACACACACACACACACACACACACACACACACACACACACACACACACACACACACACACACACACACACACACACACACACACATATAACAATGCATACACAAACATACTACATTGGAGAAACCTGAAAATGATGGTGAAACAAGTCTGCATTAATTCAGACGGCTATGTTCAGGCTTTTTAAAATGGGCGTTAAATGTACAAGTGCAAGGTGTGGTGTAAAATCTAATGAAGTGCCTCAAGTGACATCTCCGTGGTGACTCGAACAATGTTCTTTGAGTGCACTGCTAAATTGCTGGAGCACTTAGTGTAAAGACACGTGCCCTGTGTATGTGCGCGCACGCGCCTTAAAGTAGTCGCGCATTAACCAAGCTGTCTCCCTTCTCTTCGAGCCAGGTCTTTATAAACCTGAGCACGTCAACCCTCAAGCCACAGCTCCGGGGAAAATAGCAGGTGATTAGCTGATACTGTGCTAACAGAAAATATACAAGAAGGAAGAAATATACCACTGTTAAAATACTGCGGGTAGAGATGGGCACACGTACATCGTT